AGAAGTGTAATAGGAGCTGCCAGACTGTATGACTTTGATGCCTCAATGGACTGCAGAATTCAAGCTTGTTCTTATAATACATTTCTACATTAAAATGGCTAAACTTCAAAAATGTAAAAATGACATTTAACCATAGCAAAGCATTAAAGTGTATATGGTCGATTATATATAATTTAGTGCTGCAACAACATTTTTTTGTCATTATTGAGTTATCTTCGGAATATTTTCCTTAATATTAATGTGTTTCCGGGCAGCAAGCTGCTTCAACTGCATCTGTCACCAAGAAATCCTGTCACATTTGACAGCATGTTTTAACTCTGCTACCGGTAACCTATGAGATGATATAGTTAAGCTAATTGAGGCTGTTGAGGCTGGTGTTGCTTCTTGACAATACATGTTTAATTGATTTATTTATACACTGCTGGTGAAGAAATATTTACATTTATTCAGGTAATTCATGGCAGACATTTAGACTTGTCAAAGCAGAAAAAGCACAGGTGGAATTATTAGCATTCATTATGTTAATATTGGCTAAGTGGGCCGGTTCCAGTTCTGCATGCTCACCCGCTGACATGACTTAAGGGGAGCCATCATTAAGGTTATTATTTACATTTTTCCTGCTTTGATAAGTCAAAGAGCTGCATGGTCTATATTGCTCTTTCCACAGGTTTGTGTGGCAGTAATATAATTTATAATTTACATGCATTTTTTAATACAACATGATGTGATACAACAGCATTTAACAACAGTTTTAGTTATCAGTTGAAGTAAGTCTCTGATCAATGAGTTGCTTTACCTCCCTTGTATTTACCATAAGTCAATAATGTCTTAACTCAATAAGACAACATAACTATAAGAGTGACATCCTCATCCTGAAATATCAATATATGTGGTTATTCTTGCCATAATCTCATTTGACATTACATGGCTTTTCCATATCTCATGTAGGTAGTGTGGAAATACTCTATTAGAAATAGATCAGTACCTACTCTGAGAGAAGTATTTTAATATCAAAGTCCACAAAGTTTCTGAGAACTAGAAGAGTGGCAATATATTTTGTGGATTGAAATTTCAATGACAATACATTAAAGCTATTTTTCACTATCTTGCTCTTTGTCTCTCTCTCTCTCTCTCTCTCTGATTGAGTTACTTTATTTGTTTATCTTCATTCTACAGCATTCATGCTCTTTCTTTTTCGCTCACGCTTTAAATGTTCCAGTCTGGTCGGCTCTGCATTGCAGTTCAAAGGCACGACTCAGGAGATTCAATCATAGCCCATCATGCGCTCTGGGACACTTAGAGGGAAGACCCTTGCTTTCAATGGCACCAAGCAACCACTGCAAAACTCTAAAATACCTGTCCATTTATTTGAAAGTGAGCATCTGTGTTCTCCATTTTCTGTAATTTTGCTGCTGTGCTCCATGCACTCACAAAGACAAGCAGAGCAAAGACGGAGATTTAAACCTTTCTATAATGTTATTAGAAAAACACATCAATTACCAGGTCAGTTGATCACAGATCTTCTCTTTATAAACTAACCCCTTTACAATAACGATCACTATTGAACCTTAAAAACTGCAGTCTTCATTTTCGATTATGAACACAATGTGTAAACCAATTTCCAATTCCAGAAGCTCTGTTGACAGGTGGAGGCCAAATAACATCTACCTTCAGTTACAATCATTGAATCGTTGGAGTTACTATTCACTTCATCTACCAGATTTCTTCTCTTTATGAACTTTTACAGTCATTTTGCAGTTAGAAAAGACTGATGTCCTTAAATCTTTTAAATTAGTATAGATTACGATACAGTAGTGAGCAAAACTCCATTAAACATCTCCCTAACTGCACCCATGTGCATTTGATTTATTCAGTGTTTATGGACGGTTTTATTTATACGGTATCAACACAAAACATGCTGCAAAAACCTATGAGACATAAGTTGGCATGGGAATGGCCATCAGAAATGTTCTAAGCCTGAATTCTCTTTCACAATTTATTTTAATTAATTGATTAATAAATTATTTTACGCCACCGACAGCCGTGGCCAGATGCATTATGTTTTCGGGTTGTCAGTCTGCCTGTAAGTCCGTCTGTTCCATTCTTGTGAATGTGATATCTGAAATACCTCTTCAGGTTTCCCAGCTTTCAGAGGATGTACCACTTCTATGTGGCATATACCAGTGACTTTATATCTACCCCTGTCCACAAACCCCGACCCCTACAAAAAAGAGCTTATGGGTATTGCCTTGGCTTTTGTGTTGGAGGTGAAGGTAATCGTGGACCTCTCGCAATTTTCTTGCTCTGAATACAGTGAGAAATTAGTTCTGGTTAAGGATGAAAGCCTTGTTGTTAAAAAACACATCTGAACCAGATATTCAGTATTGAATAGACAATAGAAGTTAGAGATACGTGTATTCGTTTGTGTGTCTATGTTCATTTATTGCTGTGTGGCTGCGAGTAGATTGTAAGATCTCCTTGTTTCGACTAGATTGTCCCAAGTGGACTTCCTAATGTTAAACCCTTAATCCCTCTATCGTCTCTCAGTGTAACAAAAAAGACAACCTATCTCATGTGAAGATGCAGCTTTTCAAAGCTTTATTTGATGTTAGTTTTGGGAGTTTTGGGAAATATCTTCCTATCCCTTTTGTTCCCCAGGTGTTCAAGTAGAAGTAGGAAAAGTACTTTACAAAAGTTGGCAGCGGGTATGTATGGATATGTTGCTGCCTATGACATCTTTCTGTGAAAACACAGATTTAAAATTTATGTATTTTGTGCATTATTCTGAATACTGTTTAAGTGGATCGATGCCACTACTCAGACGTGTACAAATATCCACCATCATTGTAAACATTATTCTGAGGAGGTTACTAAAATCTTTGTGTTGAAATACAAACAGCTGGCTTTTATATTAAAACAACACAGGCACAACTACAAAACTGACTATTTGAAAAAAGGGCGAGTACCCTCAGAAGCCTAATGATACTGATGTCCAAAAGTGTGACTCCTCCTGTTCAGAACACAGGTTTGAGCACATGTTGTAGATTGATCTCATCTTGACTTGTCAAAATGGTTGGAGGAAACATATGTGGCTGAAAGGGTTATAATATTGAGCTTCTTCCTACCACAACCATTTTTGAAATATAAATTAACTGAGTACAACATGCTATTCTTCTAGTCAACATTTGGGAGCTTTGAGGCAGAATTTACAATGACCCTAATCCTATATCTCATGTTCAAAAATATAAATTAAAAAAACATGTAAAAAATATTCTCAAGAAAGAAGTTTCAGAACCACTTCCACAAACAACAACACTTGTGACTCGGGTGCATACTGTATCCTCCACTGCTTTTGGTTGAGTTCAGTGCATTGTTCGACATTACCAAGCACGCAGTCCTGTGGCCTACAGGATAAGACGGAAGACATTTCTAGACATGTCCTCGACTGGTTCTCCTCTTTTTGACCAACAAAACATTTTTTGTTTTGTGGATGGTTTAACGTCATCAAATGCGAATCATTAGTGGGACCTTTCTGTTTTCTCTCTGTATATGCTACTTCGGGAACATATTTCATCATCGCAACATTTCATTTTCTATGCATGAAATCTATGCAGATGTTGATACTCATTCAAACCCAATGAGGTCTACAGGCTGATTACTATGCAGAATGTACCAAAAGACTGGATGTCCCACAATATTGCCACTCCTTTTGCCCCCTCGCCGTAACATTATGTCTGCCTTTGTGTGTAGGTGTTATCAAAAGGTTTAAAACTAAAACACACTGTACAATGACATTTGTTCAGTCGTGTTTTTCTTATGAATATATCAAAGGTTAGAATTATATCTCTTAGTTATAATGTATTCTACATGCTCTTATGTCTTTGCACCAACAGTAATGCTTTTCCTTTTTTTTTTTACCAGGCTTATAGATTTTGTAATGGCTGCACTAATGTTTCAGTGAGAGCTGAGTGTGTGCATCTGCACCTGGACATCTGCATGTGGTTGTTAGTTGTGCTGTATTGCTGTGATAAGTTGTGGTTTTCTCAACAGTTGTGTGTGTGAGTGTCACAAACACAGTGATGCTGAACAGGATAGAGTTGAGGTGCTGAATCAATATTGCAGGCAGCAGTGATTGATTTATTACTTGTTGGTTTTGCACACTCCCTCTCTCTCTCTCTCTCTCTCTCTCTCTCTCTCTCTCTCTCTCCGGCTCCACAACGTGGTAGATAAAGGGAAGTGCTCTGCTTTGCCACAATAATCATAATCCTTAACACTCCGGACAGAGTGAGAAACAGCGTAGTTATCAAAAGTATGTGCGGTTCAGTTAACAGTTAACCAAACTTTATCTCATTTCTTAATATCTGTATAATGTATTAAAAAGAGAGTAACACTAAGGTTATCTCTCAGTCTATTTATTACGAATACATTTGTTTATTAGAGCGCAGAAGTTAGCCAAATCGATTTGGTTAACTTCCCCCAAAGGCACCCATACAGTAACTGTGAATTGTTTCATTTATGACTGAAGATAGAACTACTACAGCTTTTTGTGTAGCAGTTATATTTCACAGCTTTTTTTCTCACATGTAGAATCAGATTCATGCTGCTGAAAAATGGGTGTCGGATGAGTGTTTCTGTAAGAGCTTTTGCTTTGTATTAATGTTTTGTTTACTTTAGTATGGTAACTACCACTGGCTTTCAGGATGACCTTTTGTGAAAAATAATGGATAATGGTGAAATGCTACCATACTTATGTGAATTGCTTATTATAATAAAGGACCTAGCTTGGCATGACATTGGAAGTTCAATACATTTCTCTGTAATGAAATAATTTCTATTTAATATTCTAGCACATTTTTCAACACCTTAATGTTATATTTAAGTTAATTCAGTAAAATATCACTCTTCAATCTCTTGGTTTATCTTAACTCAAGTGCAATATGTGATATTTGGAAACAATTACATGCTTAACCCTCTACCCTCTTTTGCTCTTGTCTCTGCAGAAATGTATGAAATTCAATGTGGACGCTCCGATCTGGCTGTCCAAGCAGCGAATCCTGTGTACTCTCAACCAGAGCCTGAAGGATGTACTCAACTATGGCCTATTCCAGCCGGCTTACAACGGCAAGGCTGGCAAGTTTCTGGATGAGGAGAGACAGCTAAGGGAATACCCCTTCCCATCCATCGCTCCCGTACCTTACCTGGAGGTAGGTATGGATCATGTGTATGTATTAGGCTTTAAGGAGTGTTGGCAGGAGAGAGCAAGAGATAGAAATAGTATCGGCTGTAGTCTTTTTGAAGCTGTCTTAAAATGCATCACAAGCACACACTTGCATGCTCACACCGCATGATGGTGCGGGTATGTGCATCATTGTGCATGCAGTGTATGCTTTTCCTGTCATGGTGTGTCAGTCAAATCTAGCAGCAATGATACCATGCTCAATGACAGTGTGTTTTCTGCAATGGCTGTCATCTCTTGGAGATAATTGTGTGCTTGTCCATCATGGTTTTTGATCTCAGAGAAATGCAGGCGTATAAAGAAGTGTCCCTTTACAAACAGTCGTTTTCTGACTGACCGTCTTTGTTTTCACTAGTTTTACGATGTGTCAAGATATGAGGAGCATATTACATATTTACTTTCCACTTTGAGCCTCAGTTTAGTTTAAATCTCTGAGGCATTGGGAGATACTGCTATTATTATTATTATTATTGTTAACTACATTATTACTTATGATAGTCCCAGACTGCTTTGTAATATGTCTCCTTATTTAAATGACTTTACTATGTTTTCTTTGGTGGTTTAGTTTTGGGCTATATCAACAATGATGACTGTGAATTTTCTCTCTGCCTTCGGATCAATATCAGCAGAATAATGGTTTTGGCGTCTGCTAACAGGAAGTGGAACATGAGTGACATGCCATTTACAAGTGGCATAATCGTATGCCAGTAGAACAGCAATGACATATCCCAATACTTCAGACATATTCCATTAAAACAACAGTCTTACTGTATACAAGATGTTTCTTGTTGTATCTGTCTCATCCCTACTTTAAGTCTATAGCTGAATGAAGGTGTGGGCTCCGATCAGTTTGTGTGCTAGTGTCTGCTGCTACTCTGTCGGAGCACTGTGTGGGTCATTGATTGACCAGCAGTTATTCCCTGAAGCCTGTGGTGTGTAGAGATGATTGACAGGTTTGGATTAGCAGCTCAACACCGCTCAGTTCCATTGTGGATTTACCCTTTTGGTGAACGCCACACATCGGTGGAGAAACAGACGTGCACACACACGCACACGCACACACACTAATCCTTGCATGCAGGTGCACACACACACACACACACACGCACGCACATGCACACACACTAATCCTTGCATGCATGGGCACACACACACACACATACAGAATTGAAATATATCCGAGTCCTGGACAGTGACAGTTACACATTTTTACAATTATCAGGAGGAGGATCATAAGCACTCTGCAACAAACCTGAAGAATTATCAGGTTTTGTAAATGCAGCTTGTTTGTTGTATTGAAAGAACACATATGATCCATTCTCAGTTAACACTGCTCTCTTAGCTAACTGATAAGATTAATGTTGAGATTTTCAGCTCTACAATGGGTTCTGCCACAATTTTCTAATTTCAAATCTTCAGTTTTGAAAGTGGGGAAAAACACTTTTATTTTTGATAAATTAATCCGTTTGTCTTTTTTTATTTGTCAAACCTGTATGCAGTGTCCCCGCTGCATATTTGTTCATTTGAAATTGGAAACCGTTTTTTATTGTTTTGTGGTTTATATTCTTTACTCAAGCTTCCATCAGCAACAGATGGTTTTTCAAGCAAGATGTAATATGCGGAAAAGATGACAAGTAGGAACATTTGAAAAATATGACAGCCGTATACACGGAGATATTTGGTCCCCTAATGTCATTGCATCGTTATTAAATGACTCAGAATTTCAGTTTCTGTCTCTCGAATCTCTCTCTAGCTTTCTCTCTCATATGACAAGTCAATATATTTGATGGAAATTATCTGACATAGTTTGGTCTGAAGAGCTTATAAGTGTGTGAAAAATGAATTATCATTGTATATTTTGTGTGTAGTGTTTTTGTTAAGCAGTCAAAGCACAAACAAAGAGACAGGGTCAAATCTGCCTATAGCCTCTTATGTTTGTTGTTGTGTTTCAGTTCCGCTATAAAAGACGTGTCTACACCCAGACTCACCTGGATGAAAAGCAGCTGTCCAAGCTCCATACCAAGGTAAGACCAAACACCTGTGCACTCTGTCAGCTAGGGGTGGGGGAAAAAATTGATACAGCATAGTATCGCGATATTTTGCGTGTCAATATTGTATCGATACACGGACGCAAAGTATCGATCTTTTATTATATAAACTATAATTTGTTTTTTGTTTTTTTAGTTTTTTTTTAGAAAAATCAAATCAATTACTTTTTCAGTCCACTAGATGGTGCTGAGTTGTTTTCTGGTGAGGTCAGGAAAGGTCCCGGGTCAGTGTGATTGGTAGGAAGTTGGTCAAAACACAGATAGAGACATCTGGCCTCACAACGGGGTTAAATCTGCCAACAGTAGCCAGGCTCATGGGGAGAGTGCAGCGCATAACTGTCTCTCTGTCCTTGACGTACACGCATCGCAAGTTATACTGAGTTATATAACTCTTATATCCTACTTATACAAGTTATAGTTCATATACTGAGTCCATACATTTGCATTTAGTTAAGTTGGACTATGTAGTAATACAAACAGTTCAGTTTGTCAGGTTCATGCAACATTTATGACATTGTTGGTCAGTCTGTCTGCTTGACAATCCTATTTTGCTGCAATAAAAATGATTGACGTGAGATGAACAGACTGAAAACTTTATCTTATTAGATAAAACATGTTGACACAGTTTTCCTTTGGGGACATCATTTGAAGTTGAAAAAAGTAATAAATCGCAATACTCAGAATATCTCAGTATTGTGATAATATCGCAGTATCGTGATAATATCGTATCGTGACCTAAGTATCGTGATAATATCGTATCGCGGGATCTCTGGTGATTCCCACCCCTACTGTCAGCCTGACATCTGCAGAGTTTATGCTTTGTGCAACCTTCTAAACTGAGTCAATGACACATATGCAGGACACAGAACTTTGCCCAAAGCTTGGATAGAATGGAGGCCAAGTAGTTACAGCAAGTACTGGGAGGCTCCGGTTTTATGTTCAATTTTTTTATACAATGTGTGGAAAGAGGACTTTACTGGCAACTTGACTAGGTGTGTTTGTTGGTTCATTCATGTGGAATTGGAGATCTATATCTATAGGCCATGCAGGGCACTAAGAGCTTTGCATGGGGGACAACCTATGTGTGACAATGTATGTTTTGTGCTGCCATAGTACGTTAACATGAACAGGTGAAGATTAAGGTTTCACGTATTTCCAGTTATGTGTATCAACCCAATCCTGTCTTTCAACAATCTTGTAAACATACTCGGCAGGTAGCACTGTAATGTTCTTCCTTGCTAAACACATAATATCCTGCAGTACACAAACATGGAATGGAACATAACATGTGATATATTTTATATTTTGTTTCATTGAAAAAATAATACTTTACAGGACATTCAAGAAAAGGCTAAAGCAAAGTTCATACTTTGAATACATTGAATATTTTGACATAGTCTGTGTGCATTTTGTTCTCAGATCAGGTTGAGACTATGTGTAACAGCCATTTGTGTATTGCTGTTCTACGTATTAGTAATTAGGTATGAGAGCAGGTTCGGTAAAATCAGTCTTTACTTTTTGGATAGGCAGGCTCATGCACAGCAACAAAAATGCAGTCTAAACTGGCAAATAGAACCAAAGAGGCAAAGCTGGCAGATGGTGGTCAAGGGCCAGCAGGTGGTCACAAACACAGATCCAGAGCTGCAGAATAGGACAAAGACTGGCACAGTAGGGCTACTGAGCATCCTAGACAATTGGCTGAGCGTGAATACTGGCTGGGCACTGCATATGTACATGGAGTAATGGGGAACAGGTGTGGAAGAAGGTGACTAATCAGGTGATCATCTGAAGAAGGAACTCAGTGGGGCCCACTAGTGGACAGGTGAAGAATGACGGATCTAAAAAATCAGGAGATGTCTGTAAGTGATGCAGATGAGGTAGATAGAGATGATTGTGTGTGTTAGAGTGTGTACATGTGGGTGTAATATACGTGGAATAGACAGCAGAGAGAATTGAATGGATTTGCATCAAACCCCATCGGAGGGCAGGAGATTTACTCTGGAGATAATTAATAGTGTAAATTGTGTGTGTGTGTGTGTGTGTGTGTGTGTGTGTGTGTGTGTGTGTGTGTGTGTGTGTGAGTGAGAGAGAGAGTGAGAGCAATAGTGGGGAGCTGCTGTTGCCTACCAATCATGTAACTGCAGTTTTGATCATTTATGCATTAGTCAGTTCTTTTCATCCTGATTGTCAAAAAAAACATTTTCCAATTTTAGCTCAACTTTACTTAGAAAATTACATTTTAGTTTTCCAACATATGCAGAAAACAATATTGAAACATGTTGCATCCTATAATAATCAGATGAATAAAAATCCATTAAGTAAGACCATTAAGTAAGCTGCTGTCACCTCTTATGTGTGATACATGTTCTTAGAAGTGCTTTTCTTGCTGATAGACTAATGCTAGTGAAAACAGTTTAATGGCGGTTGCTGATTTAGCTTTGTAGTGAACTCTGTATACTGTATATCCCATAACAAAATGTTATCATATTGTAAATCCTTGCCATCATAGTTTGAGGAAATAGACTAGAGTGCCTAGCACATAGTGGGTGTTTCAAGAGCACCTTCTAGTAACAAAAAAAAATTCAAAAGTATTCGTAAAATGGTCTCTGTAATTGCACATTTTGCATTATTGCTGCATTGTTGTCTGCTACTTGTACAGTTGTAACAGTAATAATTTGAGCTGTCTTTACTGCTTTTATCTTTACTGCGTTTCTCAGATGCTTTCAACTTAGTTAAAGACAGCCACATTTTTTCTGTCAGAGTCTAATTCCTTTGTAGAGACTTGTCAACATTGAGTTGAACATTTCGTAGTAGAAGCCAAAATGTGGCCTAATTTGTGAATCAAAATGTTGGGAATCAAAATAGGCCACTTAGAAAGAGAAAGGACTTTGAGTTCATTCTTTGGCCATTTTGGCCATCTCATGTATGCTCATGGGCGATAAGGGTTTTCTGCTGTGCACTCCTATTGAGAAGAATGAGAATGAATGAATGAGAGGGAGATGCATGAAAGCCGTGATAAGAGGGAAATATTGTCACTCATCTAACCAGTCTGGTGTGAGGTGCTGCCGTCTGCTACTGTGCTACATTGCTATATGACAAAGTACATGAGTGTTACTCAACAAGATCAGCTTCTGCCTGGCTACAATTTAGATGGTAACTTGATACAATATATCATCTGTCAAAAGATGATTTGTTGTGATTGACCTGTCTCACAGTCCAGTAGAAGTTGAACTGGTACAATTCTCAAATGTGGAAAAGAGTGTGAATCACCCGGCCTTGAACACTATCTCACCGAGTACAAACCTGAATGCATGACTGGGCAGTGAAAGCCACCGTGTTCTTTGAGCTATTTTGTCTCAGCTATGAGTCCAGGACAGCTGTGTTATTAGAGAGAATGAAGGTGGTAATTTGTCAGTACATGCTCCAGATGCAGTCATATTAAATTCTTGTTTTCCTTACTAATCTGCATGTCTGTCAACACAGAGACGTCTGCCAGAGAGACCAGTCATTATAGAAGGTGTCGGGTGAAATATCTTTCACAGTGCATGTATTTATAAAATACTGGTGTTTATGTGTAGCCTACGTGTAAAATAGTTTGTATAGATTTACACTATGGATGATTGGTAAGGTAACTATATAACCTAGTTGCTGTAATAGTATCCACTGCTTCCCCGTGAAGGTAATGTAGAAGGAATGCACCTCAACCTACTATTCAAGTCAGCAAACGTGTTGATGACAAAGCCAACTGCTAATTAATTATATATGCTTAATATCTGCTTAATAAATGCAGATGTATAAAAGGTTTCCTTATAAAATATTATAAATGTAAAAATTGGAGTTTGGGTATAGTGTATGATTTATAGCATCAGTAGTACTGCAGTATGCCAATTATTCAATTATGAATGTTAAAGGTATTTTACAGGTCCCTGTAAAAAATAAATTATCTTGTGTGCATTAGCGAAGATGAGCTCAAAGCAAGTGATGTTACAAAGTAGCAAAACATTTGCCCTCTCTTTTATCTGAATGGCACATGTGCTTCTTTTTTTGCATAATGACTTTCAGGGGTAAAGAGGGAAATCCTGTTACGGGAGACTCTTGCAGCCTTACCAGTACGAGGTTCACTATTCATCCTGCAGCAAGCTGCCCTGTTAGACAGAGGTCAAGCATTAGCCTACTTTGCTGTTATGGAGCTCATTATCCGCAGGCTAAAGTTTGAAATGAGGTCATAGTTGATAGGATTTCCCATTATTTTTTTCCTCCTTCACATCCGACCCAACCAGGCCTCATCACCCTGAAACTGACCTGGTTAACCAATCAGGGTGGCTGCATAGAAAATGTACATAGTATACTTTTGAAAGGTAAAGTAAAAAGAGTGCATGTGTGTGGGTGTTTGGTGTCAGAGGTCAGTAATGAACAGCGCTGCAGAATGGGTGGCTTTTTTGCAGTGCGACGAAGAGCTTCCAGTAGTAGAATTTTTCCAATCCCCTATTACATAACAGCCCTTTCAGCAATTTACTCAAACTGCCTTAATGACTTGACTTTTCCCATTAACATTGTCTTAATTACTGTATTACAGTATGGCATCTTTACTCTGCATATATTTCAGCACTTACATGTCACTCTACATGATGCTGTCAGTATATTGAGATTTTAAAACCCCATGATTTTTAAGGCTGCACATCACATCAAAGGGAAATATTCTAGATGTGTGTATCTGTCATCCACTTTTCACAGTGTCATGTTTAGATCAAGACCACCTACTTCTTGCTGTCTAATGTATGATGAACAGAGAACTGCTGCTTCAACCTGCCCTCGAGATGAATCAGTACAGATGCATGTGCCCTTGTGAGGAACTCGTCACATGTGTTCTGGAGAACAGATCTCATGCATTTTAAAGTGGATTGGTCTGTTATACTTTTGCAGCCAATTAAAGATATACTGTATAGACACTAGGGATGGAAGATCAGATGGTTGGA